CCTGTTGGCATTATTATATGTATGCCTTTAATCCCAGCACTGTGGAGGCAGAAGCAGGTGGATCTTTGTGAATTATAGGCTGGCCTACACAGCGAATTCAAGGACAGCTGGAGACACCGTGTGTGGAACTCAAACCTGGGTCATATTCGAGAGCAACAAGTGCTCTTAATGTCTAAGCTGTCTCTCCAGCCCCTGGGTTTGGTTCTCAAAAGAGTGGTAGTTTAGATACAAGGTTAGCGGCTACTGAGAAAAGAAGTAAACAGAACATTTCTTTCCCACAGCAGAGGCTGGCTCTTTTTCAAATGCCTGAGTTTCAAGGAAGCATTAGAAAGCATACAAAGGGTAAAGAAAATATGGCCCAATCAAAAAAAAAATAGTAATCTTCAGAAATTAACCCTAAAGAAATGCAGACCTATCAGTCACCTAACAAAGAATTCAAAATAACCCTTGTGATGGTGTTTAGTGAGTTCATAGGGAGCACCGATGATCAAGATGAAATCAGAAAAATAAGATCTGAGGATGTAGCTCAGTTGATAGAATGTGATCTAGCACGCATAGAAGCCTGGGTTCCATCCCCAGCATCACACAGACTGGGCATGGTGGTATGTTCTTATAATCCCACCACTCAGGAGGCACAGGAAAGATCAGAAGTTCAAGGTCATTCTCAGAAATGTAGAGAATGCAAGGTCAGCCTGGAATACAAGAAAACCTATCTAAATAAAGCCAGGCATGGTGGCACACACCTCTAATCTAGCACTCCAGAGGTAGAGTTCAAGCCTGGCCTGGTCTAAGAATGAGTTACAGAATAGTCAGGGCAATATAGAGAAACCCTGTCTCAAAAAACAAAACCAACAACAACAAAAAAGATAAAGAGAAAGGAGGGAGGGAGAATGTTCTATCTTCAGCAATAGGGTTTTATTATCAAGTTCTTGTGGGTCCCCTAAGAGCAATGGCAATGATGGGGGGTCTGGACCTTCCTAACAAACAACTTGGCAGGGGGTGGCCAAATAATTGGGCACTAGGCTTTCTGTTTGCTAAGCTTTGGGAAGAGCATTATCCCTGTGTATAGAGAAACTCCAATTAGTAGACTTCCATATTGCTTTTTCAAACATCCTTAATGTTATTTATTTTCCCTCCATCCCTCCTCTGCCTTACTCTCCTGTTTCTCTCCCTTAATAACCCCCCATTATTTCCCTTCACCCTACTATTCTACCTGGCAAGATATGCCTGTTAATGCAATCGTGACATGGACATTATAGGGTAGCCAACTGATCTCTAAATAAAAGCCTGCTCCACAGGAGGGAACTCACATCTGGTACTGGAAACCTGACCCAAAATCCATGGCTAGAGAGGTTATAGGCCCTGCTATGATAATTTTGCTAAAAGGACACAATTTCAAACTGCCTCCTAAAGGCTTTCCTTATACTCAACAGAGACGTTTCCCTATATAGAGGGTGATAGTTATTAGAGACAACCAGGGACCGTATAGAGAATGTGTGAGACTCTGGAGTGCTAAGCCCTAACCTTGACATTTATAGCACACCCCTTTACCCTCCCTCAAGGCTCAAGGGAGGAGGGGCAGAAAGACTGCAAGAACCAGAGTCAACTTGCTGTGAACCGTCTTCTGGACACGACAGAGACACCGCACCCATGAACTCCTAGCAGCCGTGGTTGCTGGCACAAGATCTGCACGAGATCAAGCCAGTCAGTGTTCCGGCATAAGATCCCACCCCTACCCAAGGAGATGATGGCACTTAAGGGCTGGCTGCTCCAGGAGGGAGAGTCCTTTTTCTTCAGTAGTCCATGGTCCCATGCTCCAGGAGTGCGCCCATGAGAACATGGGTAGCTCTGATTAGACTCGGTGGGGTTTGCTGTTGTTGTTTGTCTGGACTTAAGTTGTAGGCAGAATGTGGGGGTAGCCTGAGAGGAGTTGGAGCAGGGAATATTATTGTACATGATCTAAATACATTGTATTCACATATAAAATTACCAAAGAATACATTTTTAAATGTGGCTTTAAAACCTTTGTTCAAGAGCTGGAGAGTGGGTCTGGCAGTCAGGAGCACTGGCTACTTGTAGTCGGAAGGTTTCTCTGGTCCTGCCCAGCCCTGAGGTCCCACAACCACTTATAAAATAATCATTGAGAGGCTTAATATAATTTACAAACTGTATGGTCTATGGCAGGCTTCTTGTTAGCTAGCTCTTATAACTTAACCCATCTATTAATCAATGTTTTGCCACATGTTCCATGGCTTCACCAGTCTGCTGGCATCTTGCTTCTCCTTCAGTGGCAGCTGGTGTCTCTCCAGACTCCGCCTTTCTCTTTCCTGTCTCCCTCTTTGGATTTCCCACCTGCCTCTAAGCTGCCTTGCCATAGGCCAAAGCAGCTTATTTATTAGCCAATCAGAGCAACACATATTCATAGCATGCAGAAAGACATCTCACAGAAGCTACTCCTGCAGAAAACCAGGGTTCAATTCCAAGCACCTACATGCTGTCTATAACTTCACTCCCAGAGGAACTGATGCTCTCTTCTGGCTTCCTGAGGCACCAGGTACATATGTGCTGCACAAACATACATGCATGTAAAACACACACAAATATTTTATAAAATGAAACCTTCACTCAAGTTATTTTGCAATACTCTGTTTTTCTACAAGCAGTTTTTTTTTTTTTTTTTGGTTTTTCGAGACAGGGTTTCTCTGTGTAGCTTTGCGCCTTTCCTGGAACTCACTTGGTAGCCCAGGCTGGCCTCGAACTCACAGAGATCCGCCGGCCTCTGCCTCCCGAGTGCTGGGATTAAAGGCGTGCGCCACCACCGCCCGGCTCTACAAGCAGTTTTAAGAGATTCAAAACATGTGCCTGGAAATATTATGTAATTAAAACTCTTCCAGCTGCAGAAGGTACTTTCCTCTCAAACTAATGAGGAACTACAACGCCTTCACATGCCATCTTTTCTCAAGAAGGTATTCTATGCTTTATGCTGGAAAGCTTTTGGTAAAAAAATAAAAAGATACATGTTCATTACCTATCACAGCAGCACCAAAGAATAGAAACCTAACATAACCTACATCTGAGGGAAGATGTGACACATGTGACAGGCCCTAGAAGGTCCTGAGAGCCAACCACAAGCCACTGTCTGTGTTACTGTGAACCACAGGGAGACACTCAGATGTCGCCTTTCTGCACACACATTCTCCAGGATGCTTTTACAAGGAAGAGATGTGGCAAGCTATTCTCAGGGACCACAGCACTTTTTAAACAAAGATACCCTAGAACTACCATAAGCATAGTGTGCCTTGATCCTGGGACCTGCCCAGGGGCCGCAAGGAAGTGAAAGGACAAGCACACAAACACACATACAGAAAAACCGGGGTCTCGTGGAGCAGTATACAAGCAATCAGTAACCTCCATGTGTTTACTACACGCAGAGAAGGGGAGGGCTTAGCTGGTCTCCAAAACTGGTCTCTGGAGGTAGCAACTTTGGGCTGTAACAAATGAGAAGAGGAAGGCACACATAGGATACCATTTTTGCACACACTGATCAATACTCCACAAACATGTGTACTTGGACCAGAGGAAGAAGAGGGCTTTGCCAATTTCCCTTGGGTCTGTGGCCTTGGTCCTTGTCATGGTTGTGCCCACGTCAATAATACACATTCACTTGGGACGTGGTCATGTCTGTCTGTTTCTCATGTGCATGCACGTGCATGTGCGTGTGCATGTGTGTGTGTGTGTGTGTGTGTGTGTATTAAAACATTCTTTCCTGTAGGAAGCTCCTTGAGTAGGAAGGAAAATAACTCAAAATAGCTTCAGGAAGTCCCTGAAACTGACCAGATTCACTAGTGCCCTCCCTGCCAGAGTTGAGCCAAAAATGCAAAGAAGACTAAGACAAGCCAGCCTGCCTGGAAGAGGTTTAGATCAACTGAGTCACTTGGAAAGGACACTCTCCAGCCTGCTGAGCTGCCTACAGCCTGTGCAGTGTGCTGCAGGTTCCCAGCTCTGTGAGCTGTCACCATGCTGGGGTGGGCTGTGGTGATGCAGCTGTCTCTGAGTCATTTCTGGCCCTTCACCCATGTTCCTGTAAGTAACCCAATAAAACTCATGGTTCACCAAGTTGGACTTGGGTGGTTCTGTACTTTGGTCTGCTGTGGGCTCCCCACCTGGGGTGAGTAGACATGTGTGCTGAGTCTCCCTAGTGTGTATGTATGCATACGTATGTGTGTGGGCACGTGCCTGCCATGATGTATGGATGGAGGTCAAAGGACAACTTACAAGAATCAGTTCTCATCTGTCTCCATGAGAGTCCCAGGGAATGGATTTAGGTCATTGGGCTTGGCAGCAAGAACCTTTACCAACGAACCACCTCATTGGTCTGGTGCCATGCTTTGAATTAAAATATCAGGTCACATGACTTGAATACACACACACACACACACACACACACACACACACACATACACACACACAGACAAACTCTCAGCATCTTACTCTGTACCCCAGGCTGGCCTAAAACTCACAATCCTCCTGCCTCAGCCTCCAGTGCCTCCTGCATATTGGAATGGCAGATGTATATGCCATACTTGATTTCAAAACAGGTTTTCTGAAAAATTCAATAGTTCTGGTTCCCACAAAGGTCAACAGAGTCATCTAAACACTGTCTTCTACACCTAGATTATAGTGGTACAGCAGGGCACTGTGCTCACAGCCGTGGTTAACCCTGGAGGAATCCTCATCTTGTTCCAGGCAGTCCATTCAATCCCAGGACACCACTATGAACTAGCCATCATTATCACCACTTTGCACATAGACTGGAGAAAAAGTCACCTAGCCCGAGTCACACTACCATATACCCAAGCCTCACATAGACTCTACCGCTGTGTTACACACCAGCTCAAGGCTGAGAGTTTAAATACCACTACATCACAGAACCTTCTATGAAGCCAAGCGATGAGAAGGTCCTAAGGTCACCTTAAAAAAAACAGCGCTTAACTATAACGTTGGTATCCAAATATGCTTTATTGTACGCAAATTCTAGAAAACTTGGTTCATACAAATTCAGTTCTTTCCTGTCAATGCCTCATTTCCCCAGCCACTCTGCAAATGGGTTTTCCTCACAATGAGGCCATCTTTGTCCCTTCAGGTCCCTTTCAGGCACCTGGGCCACACCCGCTCCAGGTCCACTGTAGAAAGAATATTAGCCAGGAGGAAAATGACTTGACAATTTTTTCAGGAGAACAAAAACAGAGTAAGTCTTACTTTAAGGTACCACACGATAAAAAGTTAAAAAATAATAATAAAGTGCCACATGAGAATAATAATAAGTGATACTTTACCGAAAATTGGTAAGTGTAGAGTCATTGAAACGAAATCTATCGTTTTCTTAACCAGATGAAAATGTGCGGTTTCTCATGTTTTGTTTTGTTTTGTTTTTTTTTTTTTTTTGGTTTTTCGAGACAGGGTTTCTCTGTGTAGCTTTGTGCCTTTCCTGGATCTCGCTCTGTAGAACAGGCTGGCCTCGAACTCACAGAGATCCGCCTGCCTCTGCCTCCTGAGTGCTGGGATTAAAGGCGTGCGCCACCACCGCCCAGCGGTTTCTCATGTTTTAAGAGAACTTCTCTCTCACTGTCTTTCTGAGAGCTCCTTTGGGATCTCAAAGACTCACATCCAAGTGTTTCTTCAGAATGCTGCCTCTCACAAGGACTGTCCTCTTCCCCCACACGTCCTATAAGCACGAAATAAGTGACACAACATGACAACTCCAGGTGCGTTTTCATCTACTTACAGGGAGGGCTGCTGTATGCGACACACAGAACAAGTGCAGCAGGAACCCGGGCGTTCTGCCAGAGTGTCCACCGGGCCATGTCTAGAAACACTGGCCCCGTCACTCACAGGCCCTGCTGTGTCTACTTGACACAGTGACAGGACCAGAGACCTTCATCCCTGCAGATGCCGGAAACAGGTTCACGTTCAGCACCACAGTGGGTCACTTGGGTTGAAGCGGTCTTCTCAAGCCGACTTTCTTTTGCCGTAGTGAAGCCTGGACTTCCTCATGAGCATTCTCCTGACATTTCATCTTTGCTAGGCGCGTCGCTTCATATTCCTTTTCGAGTTTCGCGGCTAAAAGATAAAGCAGACGAAGCCGTGTGAGTGGCCCTTTCACCCGGCACCGTCTCAAAACTGAGTACCACGCAGCAGAGAGACACTGCTGAAGAATTAACAGTTTGACAGGAAGCATGGGCATGGCTAACAAACTTAGAAGTTCTGCGGCCACTAGCAAATGATAAATCCCTAATTGATTAAAGCAGATATTAAACAAAAACCAAGAAACTCACCTTGTGCTGAAGGGAACATGCCATCTTTGTTGGTTCGGTATACTGTGGCGAGCTTTACAGGGCTGCCAAATGCAATTTCTCCCAAGAATGGCAACTTGATGTTCACTAAGTTTGAGTACCAGGTCTTTGTGAGCTCTGCAAGGTCCCATGGTTCCTGTCTGAGGCAAAATTTCATGAACTTATTCAATCGGTTTTTGCTGAGTGTGCTGTGTGAAATACAGACAGCTTGCTACCTTTGCCTCCAGTTTGGTTTTTGAAGGATTTTTCACAGTTACAACCCTAACAAGGAATAAAAACCTACAGATTAACAGAGACATTGGTAAAAGACCAGACATTATGCCGGGGTTGGTTCACAGTGCAGCAACCTATAATGCTAGCCAATCCACGAATGAGATTGTAAACCAGAACTATAAGCTACAATGTCTTTTTTTTTTTGACACAGGGTCTCACTGTGACACCCTGGCTAGCCTTGAACTTCTATGTAGACCAGGCTGACCTCAAATTCACAGAGATCTGCTTGATTCTGCCTCCCAAGTAGCTGAGTTTAAAGGCATGCACCACCATACCCACCTACAATATCTTTTGTAGATCAAATAATACCATGAGTTGGATATGGCAAGGCACCCTTGCAATCCTGACAGTGGAGAGACACAACCATAATCCTAGTACTCAGGAGGCAGAGGCAGGAGGATGGTGAGGTTGAGGACAACCTAGAATGTATTTTAAATTCCAGAGCAACCTGGTGCACACGGTAGAACCCTGTCAAAGAACAACAAAGGGATGAGGCTGGAGAGATGGCTCAGCAGTTAAGAGCACTTGTTGCTCTTGCAGAGGACCTGGGTTCAGTTCCCAGCACTCACATGGTGGCTCACAACCATCTGCAACTTCATTTCCAGGGGAGCCAACACCTTCTTCTGACCTCTGAAGGCACCATGTGCACATGGTGCATAGAGAGACATGAAGGCAAAATACTGTTGGGGAATATTATTTTAAGGTGTGTTACCCTTAACTTCAAAGACAGACACTATCTCAGAGTAAAGGGCTGGGAAAAGGCTTTCCAAGCAAATGGACCTAAGAAACAAGCTGGTGTAGCTATCCTAATATCTAATAAAATAGACTTCAAACTAAAATCAATCAAAAGAGATCAGGATGGACATTACATATTTATCACAGGAAAAATCCACCAAGATGAAGTCTCGATTCTGAACATTTATGCCCCAAATACAAAGGCACCCACATTCATAAAAGAAACATTACTAAAGCTTAAAACGCACATCAAACCCCACACATTAGTAGTGAGAGATTTCAACACACCACTCTCACCAAAAGACAGATCTACCAGACTGAAACTTAACAAAGAAATAAAGGACCTAACAGATGTTATGACTCAAATGGACTTAGTAGGTATCTACAGAACATTCCATCCTAATACAAAAGAATATACCTTCTTCTCAGCACCCCATGGAACCTTCTCAAAAATTGACCACATGCTTGGTCACAAAACAAATCTCAACAGATACAAAAAAAATGGAATAGCCTCCTGTATATTATCGGACCACCATGCCTTAAAGTTAGACTTCAACAACAACAAAAATTATAGAAAGCATACAATCTCATGGAAACTGAATAATGCCCACCTGAAACATCAATGGGTCAATGAAGAAACAAAGAAAGAAATTAAAGATTTCCTAGAATTCAATGAAAATGAAAGTACAACATACCCAAACTTATGGGACACTATGAAAGCAGTGCTAAGAGGAAAATTCATAGCTCTAAATGCACACATAAAGAAGATGGAGCAATCCCATGCCAATGAATTAACAGCACAACTGAAAGCTCTAAAACAAAAAAACAAACTCACCCAGGAGAAATAGACACCAGGAAATAATCAAATTGAGGGCTGAAATCAACGAAATAGAAAACAAGAGAACAATACAAAAAATCAATGAAACAAAGAGTTGGTTCTTTGAAAAAATCAACAAGATAGACAAACCCCTAGCCAAACTAACCAAAAGGCAAAGAGAGAGCACCCAAATTAACAAAATCAGAAATGAAAAGGGAAACATAACAACAGACAATGAGGAAATCCAGAGAATCATCAGATCATACTTCAAAAACCTGTACTCCACAAAAATGGAAAATCTGGAAGAAATGGACAATTTTCTGGATAAATACCACATACCAAAATTAAATCAAGTCCAGATAAACCATTTAAATATACCAATAACCCCTAAAGAAATAGAAACAGTCATCAAAAGTCTCCCAACCAAAAAAAGTTCAGGACCAGATGGTTTCAGTGCAGAATTCTACCAGATTTTCAAAGAAGAGCTAATACCAGTACTCTTCAAATTGTTCCACACAATAGAAACAGAAGGAACACTACCAAACTCTTTTTATGAGGCTACAATTACCCTGATACCCAAACCACACAAAGATGCAACAAAGAAAGAGAATTACAGACCAATCTCCCTCATGAACATTGATGCAAAAATACTCAACAAAATATTGGCAAACCGAATCCAAGAATAATCAAAAAAATTATCAATCATGACCAAGTAGGATTCATCCCCGGGATGCAAGGATGGTTCAACATATGAAAATCTGTCAATGTAATACACCATATAAACAAACTGAAAGGTGTGTTACTTTTGTTTCTGTTGCATTTGTTTAACTCTGTGAATCTGTGTTACTGTGCCTGTCTAAAACACCTGGTGGTCTAATAAAGAAATGAGCAGCCAATAGCAAGGCAGGAGAAAGGATAGGCGGGGCTGGCAGGCAGAGAGAATATATAGAAGGAGAAATTTGAGAAAGAAGAAGTAGCAAGAGAAGGAGGAGGACTCCAGTGGTCAGCCACCCAGCTACACAGCAAGCCACGGAGTAATAGTAAGATTTACAGAAGAGAACAGGAAAAGCCCAGAGGCAAAAGGTAGATGGGATAATTTAAGGAAAGCTGGCTAGAAACTAAGCCAAGCTAAGGCTGGGCATTCATAATTAAGTATAAGTTTCCATGTGTAATTTATTTGGGAGCTGGGTGATGTCCCCCCAAAAAAGAGCCAAGAAACATTAACAATACTCATACACAAACAATAAAGCCAAAGAACATACATAAAGAACATTACAATTACATGTTGAGCAGGTATGTAGCATATACAAAGACTTTTCACATATAATCTGGAGAAATAAATGAAACTACAAACTACATTAAAAAGGATTGCTATGAACCTTAATTTTGCTTAATTCTGAAAGACAAATATCAGCTACATGTTTCTCACCTGCAGTCCATATTCCGTCAGCCCCATTTACTTTAATCTGAACGGGGGAATGGTATGTGTGGTACGTCCCCCTTTGATTTTTCTCCCCTGGTTTCACAGCTACTTCATGCAATTTTAGGGAGTGACGTAACAGTGTAAAATTATTATAGAAGTAGTTGAAAAAAATCACACAGATGTATTTATAAAAATGCTCACGCAGCTGTAAAAAGCCAGACTTTGAGATGGCTCAGCAGGCAAGAGGGCTTCCCACAAGGCTGATGACCCAGACTTGATCCTGGGATCCCTAGTGACTAGAGAACCGACTCCCACAAGTTGTCTTCTGGCTTCCCACGCATGTGCTGTGGCGTGTGTGTTGGGTGGCTGGTTGGCTGTTTTTTGTGGGGTTGGTGTGTTTTTACGTCTTATTTCTTTTCTTTTTTTCTTTGTTGTTATTGTTTTCCTAAATTGCCCGGGCAGGTCTTTAATTTATAATCCTCCTGCCTCAGCCTCATAAGTGGCTGGGATTACAGACCTGTGCTACTGACCTGGCTAAAATTACACGTGTAATGATATTTACTCGAGTGGTACTTTATGTAATCCGAGATCTAAACACACACAACTGACAAAACTAAGCTGAATGTAATGAATCGGACCCTCCCTGTGGCTCTGGTTACACAGCCCTTTAACCATCCACAATGACATCTTAGAACATTATTTAAAAAAAGGAAACTTTGCTTGACTCATAATGGTGAATGTTGTAAACCAAAGAGAGGGGTTAAAAAGTAAAAGCCAAGCATGTTGTGCATGCCTTTTAATCCCAGCATCTGCAAGGCAGAGGCAGAAGCCGGAAGCCAGCCTGATCTGCACAGCCAAACAGCTTATTTTTAGGCCAGCTAAGCTCACATAGCAAGACTGTCTCAAAAACCCTGTGAAACAAATGCAGTGCTCTAAGGCAATACACCACAGCACCACAGAGTGTGACGACTGTGTGATGGTAGCAATGTGTATTCATAACGTGTCCTCTGTATCCCAGGCAACCAAGTAGGTCTTAGACATGCCTCAGTTCCCTTGCAAGCCCCACCACAATAGACAGGCATGCATTGTGTTACAGATGTGGGAGATAAGGCTAAGACACAGTGTGCAGAGGGAGCCAGGCTTGGAGTCCAGGACTGCAGACTGAAAGTCCATGTTGACATTGGCAGGCAGGCAGGATAGGAAGCTAATCAGACCCTTTGCACCAGCTAAGGAAGTACTTCTCTATAGGTGTTATTAGTACATTTGTATACTCTAAAATGTGCTTTTGCCTGGCAATGTGGCACACGCCTTTTTTTAATAATTAATTTAATTTAATGTGCATTGGTGTGAGGGTGTCAGACCCCCTGGAACTAGAGTCAGAGACAGTTGTGAGCTGCCATGTGGGTGCTGGGAATTGAACCCAGGTCCTCTGAAAGAGCAGCCAGTGCTCTTAACCTCTGAGCCAGCTCATCAGCCCCTGGCACACGCCTTTAATCCCAGCACTTGGGAGGCAGAGGCAGGCGGATCTCAGTGAGTTCAAGGCCAGCCTGGTCTACAAATCAAGTTCCAGGACAACTAGGACTGTTACACAGAGAAACCCTGTCTCAAAAGAACCAAAGGGAAAAAAAAAAAAAAAAGATGTGTTTTTTTTTTTTTCTTTTTCCGTTTTGTTTTGTTTTGAGACAGGGTTTCTCTGTGTAGTTTTAGAGCCTGTCCTGGAACTCACTCTGTAGACCAAGCTGGCCTGGAACTCACAGAGTTCCACCTGCCTCTGCCTCCCAAGTGCTGGGATTAAAGGCGTGTGCCACCACCTCCTGGCAAAGTTGTGTTTTAAGATGGTGGTGGCACATGCCTTTAATCCCAGCACTCGGGAGGCAGAGCCAGGTGGATCTCCATGAGTTCAAGTCCAGCCTGGACTACAGAGTGAGTTCCAGGAAAGGCGCAAAGCTACACAGAGGAAACCCTGTCTCAAAAAAACTATTAAGAAAGAAAGAAAGAAAGAAAGAAAGAAAGAAAGAAAGAAAGAAAGAAAGAAAGAAAGAAAGAAAGGAAGGAAGGAAGGAAGGAAGGAAGGAAGGAAGGAAGGAAGGAAGGAAGAAAGAGAAGTGGCAGCAGTGAAGATATTTTTCAATGACTGAAACCAAAAAAAAAAAAAACACAGACATATAAACATGTATATAGAGAGAAACCCACTTAAAGATTAAAATGTTTTTAAATAAGGTAACGCAGCCTGCCCCAGAACATCATACAGCACAGGACTGTGGTTTGGTCAACCTGGAAAACCTTTGTTTTCTCATTTCAAAGTCTTACTTTGGTGTGAACACTAAATAGCACCGTGTCTCTGTTAGCTGCCACTGTGATGCACTTGACACAATGACCTAAGAAGGGAATCTCAGTTGAGCGATTTCCCAGATCACAAGGCCTGAGGCCTCATCTGTGCAGGCTTGTCTTGACTAATAATTACATAGGAGGGCCCAGCCCACCGTGGGCTGCACCACTACCTGGGGGCAGGGGGTCTGGGGTGTGTATGGCCAGTTAAGCATGAGCCCATGAGCTAGCCAGCAAGCAGTGTTCCTCCAAGGCTTCTGCTCCTGCCTTGAGTTTCTGCTCTGATTTCCCTCAGTGATGAACTGTGATGTTAAAGTGTCCTGGAAATGACACTTAAAATAAATAAATAAATCCTTCCCTCCCCATGTTCTGATTTTTCAGATTATTTATATAGGTTTTGCTTGCATATATGTATGTGTATCCAAGTATGCTTTATGCCCATTGAGTCCAGAAGAGGGTGAGAGATCCCCTGGATTTGGAGTTAGAGACTTGTGAGCCTCCATGTCAGTGTTAGGAACCAAGGCCCGAGCCTTGCAAAGGCAGCAGGTGCTCTTAACCCATGAACCAGCTCTCTAGCCCTGTTTGTATATTTTTATAAAAGTGGTATTTGGGAAGATGGAAAGATGGGTCATCCATTAAGAACATAAACTGCTTTTTCAAAGGACCGAGTTTGGGTTCCTAGAATCTACAACTCATAACCCCCTGTAACTCCAGTTCCAAGGGATCCAACACCGTCTTCTGGCCTCCATGCACACCTGCTCAAACGTAGTGCACAAACAAAAAGGCCTGTACAAACATGAAAAGAAATCATTTTTCAAGTAGCTGTTTAGAAACAAAAATTCAGACACTTTAAAATGCTTTCATATACTCCACTAACTTGCTGCGAACAGAAGAGTGCCTAGCAGGTCACAAACTCCAGCCATACTACCGTAATTTGTGAGTGTGAGTGTGTGTGTGTGTGTGTGTGTGTGTGTGTGTGTGTGTGTGTGTGTGTGTACTTACACTTTATAACAGCTGCCCTTCAAAATGGTTTGCACTGTGTTCCTTCTTGGCAAGCCGTACGCCATGGTGGATGATCACAATCTTTTCCTTACGTAGGAGCCTGATGTACCCGTCTCCAATGCTTTGTTCACTTTGCCTGAAAGAACAGCAACATCCCTAATTTAACAGCCCTCATTTGAATGTTTTTTTTTATGGCCAAATAATCAAAAGGTCGCCACAAAACATCGAGGGGTGTCAGGAAGCACTTCGGTAAACATTCGCTGGATCTGAACCTTGAGCATAGGTAAGCTAGCTCTGTTCGTTTTGGGGAAGCCGCTCTATCAGTTCAGCCACCATCTAAGGGAAAGCCAGGCGAGGGTTGTCCTGTGCGAGGTTGCAGTTGGCAGCCCTGCGCCCTGGCACGACAGGCGGACAGTGCCTGCGCCTGAGTCCCGACGCCGGGCCTCGCGGCTGCGCGCCCTTGTGGCTGTCATAGAGACGGTGACCCTGCAGCTCTCCGCCTAGGCCTCGCCAGGCATGCACTGGCTGCCGCAGGCCACCGCCCTTTCCAGGGTGCAGTTCCAGCCAGGCCCGGCTGGGGTGGAGCAGGGAGCGCCCTCCTCGCCCTCCCACGCCCGTGCCGCTCCCGGTCCCGGTCCCGGCCCCTCTGTACCGGGCTGGAGGTCGGCCGCCGGCCCGCGACCCAGGGCAGCACGCGCTAGGCGCACATGGCCGCGCACTCGCAGCCGCCCCGCCGCGGACACGCGCCTGCCCGCTTGCTCGTGCGCCTGCCTGCTCGTGCGTGCGCCTGCTTGCTTGCTCATGCACCCCGCTTGCCCCCGTGCCCGCCCTGCGTCACCCACCGCCAATAAAGGGCTTTGTGTGCTCGCGGGGTGCTCAGACCCAGCCCGTTCCGCGGTGGGAGTCACCCCTCATGAGTGGGTGACAGCCCCTGTCAACGCCCTCGGTCGAGACTCTGGCGACAGCTTCTACAAAGAGCGGGTTCCATCTGGTCGCTTCCTAGGACCCCAAGCAAATGGTGGCGGCATTCGGTGGAAGGGTTTGCTGGAGCTGCTCCTTGCTAAGGCCAGGACCTGCCCAGCGTCCCTTCTCCGAACCTAAATGACTTCATAAAGCAAAGAAAATGTGTGTAGATTTCGTGGGTTGTGAGGATTAAAGATAATGCTTGAGCGTCTCTGACCCACGGAAGGGCCAGATTCTATCATTGTGCGTTTAGGGACGACTCCATGAAACAAGCAAAGGGTTCCGACTGAGAGAGGAGTGGGCACTCGGCACATAGCGGGTCCCAGGGCCAGCGGGAGAGGTTAAACACTGATCTCTCTACCTGACACACCTCTTTCCTGCTTTGTTTGGTTGACACGGTCCAGAATGACCCGGAACCACTCTGTAGCCCAGGGTGGCTTCAAACCTGCAGCTCATCGGGCTTGGCAGCAAACCTTTATCCCTGAGCCATCTCGGCATCCAACCTATTTTTATAAATAAGATTAATACTAGCCGGGAGGTGGTGGCGCACGCCTTTAACCCCAGCACTCAGGAGGCAGAGGCAGGTGGATCTCTGTGAGTTCGAGGCCAGCCTGGTCTACAGAGTGAGATCCAGGGCAGGCTCCAAAACTACACAGAGAAACCCTGTCTCGAAAAACCAAAAAAAAAAAAAAAAAAAAAAATACTAAATACTTGGCTGGCAGGGGAGATATCATGATTACAAAGGTGATTTTCCGAGGATGAGGCTTATCAATTGTGCTCTGGATGTGCTGACCCCTGCAAGTTCCCCAAATGTGAGAAACTTGGCTGCATAGTTTGTGGTAGTGGGGGACCATGTTTACACTTTTGTCTGAATTAAAAGTAGAGGAAGAGGAAGATTCAGATAACAATGAGCAGAAAACACATTTTTACAGACATTTGCCCTATGACGATCTTGCAAACTCTCACCCAGAGGCACTTATAATCCTTAAATATTATCAACAGAGCATATCACAACCCCACAGTTACAGGAAAAATAAAACTAGACATTCAAGGAGGTGGAAGAAGGCTGTCCAAAAGATCTACAAATAAAGACCGATTTCTGAATTGTCTTTAGAAATACCGAATTTTAACTGTCATATAGAGCTCTCATCCAGTGACTGCTGGAAGCAGATGCAGAGATCCACGGCCAAGCCCCAGGTGGAGCTACAGGAGTCCAATCAGCGAGAGAGAGGAGGGATTATATGAGCAAGAGATATCGAGACCATGATTGGGACACAGGGACAAATAGCCAAACTAGTGGAAACACATGAACTGTGAACCAATAGCTGAGGAGCCCCCATGGAACTGGACCAGGTCCTCTGGATAAGTGAGACAGTTGATTAGCTTGAACTGTTTGGGAGGCCTCCAGGCAGTGGAACCGGGACCTGTCCTTGGTGCATGAGCTGGCTTTTTGGAGCCTAGTGCCTATGCTGAGACACTTTGCTCAGCTTGGTGCAGGGAGGAGGGGACTGGACCTGCCTCAACCGAATCTACCAGGCTGGGCTGACTCCCCAGGGGAGACCTTGCCTTGGAGGAGGTGGGAATGGGGAGTGAATGGGGGGGGGAGGGAAGAAAGGGGAATCTGTGGCTGATATGTAAAATTAAATTATTATAAAATAAAATATTTTTTAAAAATACCAAATTTGAGCTGGAGAAATATCTCAATGGTAAAGAGCACCTGTTGCTCTTCAGAAGACCCAGATTCAGTTTCCAGAATCTACATGGTGCTAACATCTGTAACTCCCATTCCTGAGCATATGACACCCTCTTCTGGCCTCTGAGGGCATGCACATACATGGTGCACAGACATGCATGTGGAAAAAAATACCCTAACATATAAAGTAAAAATAAATCTTAAGGGCCGGAGAGATGGCTCAGCAGTTAAGAGCTCTGGCTACTCTTCCAAAGGACACAGATTCAAATCCCAGCACCCACATGGCCACCCACAGCCCTCTGTAACTGCAGTCCCAAGAGATCTGACGCCCTCATCTGACCTCGGCAGACACTACATACACACACACATGGTGCTCAGGCATAGATACATGCAAGGGAAAAACACCCGTACACATAAAAATAAAAAATACTGTTTAAAAAAAAAAGGAAAGGAAATTCCAATTTCTAGCAGGAAGGGACATAGGAGCAGTAAGAAAAGATAATGAACTAGAACAAAGTGTAGGGATACATATGTGAAGATCCTGGGATGAATCCCACTATTTTGTATGCTAACTTAAGAATAGATTACCAAATTCTACCTCTCTTTTCTTCCCCTCTCCCTCCCTCCTCTGTGTCTCTTGTTTATGCCCATCTTCACCTCCATCTCGGTCTCAGCCTCTCCCCATTTTGCGGGTACCTCTCCTTTATCTTCCAGTTAGCATTCGTCATTTTAATGGTTTAAGTGAGAGTTGCTGCCACCTAGTGTTCAAATGAAGTTACGCAGGGGCCTGCAGAAGAGATGAGTGCCGCTCAAACATAACAAACTCAGCACCCGTGACAGCGTTGACCATGCTTTAGAGGCTGTCAACAGAGTGCACCCAACGACTCATTTAATCACCACATGATTGGTGACATTAATGATTTTATGGCATTTTAATATTTATTTGTATTCTTTTTAATTAACTCTGTGTGTGTGTGTGTGTGTGTGTGTGTGTGTGTGTGTGTGTGTGTGTGTGTGTAGGTGTAGGTGCCTGAGTTATCAGGGCCCCTTGGGTTCGTTAACACTGATCTGCCCAGTGTGGGTGCTGGGAACTCCATCCTTCTTAGGAGCATTGTGTGTTCTGAACTGCCAAGCCCCTTGTGATGACATTTTAGAGAAGAAAACACAGGCATTTCCAGCTTGGATAATATCCAATGCCACAGGGCTTGAACCCAGACAACCTGATTCTGATCTTTGTTCTTTCTCCGCTGTACCACACTACACAGTCTCCCAGATGGTTCTCTGGGCACCGTTTCCATCTGTTGTAAGTACTGTTCCAACGGCCCTTTTCCGTTATCGCGAGATTTCCTCGTGTGTGTGTGTGTGTGTGTGTGTGTGTGTGTGTGTGTGTGTGTGTGTGTATGTACGTTCATCCTAATTTAAAAGACATTTTAGTTCTCTTAATAAGTAAATCATAGATGCAGCTTCCAATGTTCATGGCTGCTTCTAAATTTCTCAGGTATTAATTGCATACCTTTCTAAGATGATGATGAAACAGTGCATCCCATAGGTGTCAGGCCAGCGACTAACAGCCCTCGATGCCCTGCGTCCTTGGCTCCTTTGCACTGGAGCCTTCACGGTGCTCTCGGCTCCCGGTCCTCCTTCCACTGGTCCTCATCCTTCTCTAAGTTTGTGCCGCCACCACTGTGTCAGACTTTCCGATCCACGGCACGCCTCTGGCTCTCTTCTCCCACAAATGCAACCATCACTCTTCTGTGGGTCCGTCCCAAATAAGATTCACTAGCCAGCCCGGGCTTCTTGCCCGGATTTCTATCCCACACTTCCATCGGGTGGAGGAACTCTCCCATCCCACTGCACCATTCTCACAAAGATTTCAACATAATCCGAATATCCTCCTGGCCCCTAAGCTCACCTTACCTTTGCTATCCAGTCTTAGAGGACAGGCATCATTTTGTTGTTATTGTTTTGTTTTCTCAAGACAGGGTTTCTCTGTGTAGCCCTGGCTGTCCGGGAACTCGCTCTGTAGACCAGGCTGACCTTGAGCTCACATATATCCGCCTGCCTCTGCCTCCCGAGTGCTGGAATGATAGGAAGAGTCTATCCTTAGGGCCAGAGAAATGGTGCAGCAAGTAAGGATGCCCATCACCAAGCCGAAGAGGCTGTCAGTCCCCAGGACCCATGGGATGGAGGAGAAAACCAGCTCCCGGAAGTTGTCCTCTGACCTCCATATGCACACACTCATGCACGTAATAAATAAATGTAATTAGCCCTAAACTATGAAAAGTTATTATATTGAAATGAAAGGACAGGAGAGTTATGAGGAATGAATATAAGTAAAATATGAGCTATACCTATAAAGATGTCCGTGAAACCCGTTCACTTGGGGACTGGAAATGTGGCTCAGTTGGTAGAGTGCTCGTCTAATGTTCATTCGGCCCTGGGTTCAATCCCCAGCCCCTCAAAAACCAAGCATAGGCTGGGCAGTGGTGGTGCACATCTTTAATCCGTGGACTGAGGAGGCAATTAGAAGTAATTATAAAGCAGGGGATGGGGAAAGACTTAGAAATAAACTAAGAAGTTAAGACAATGGAAACTTTTTGTTGTACTTTTATTTTTTTGTTTGTTTGTTTTTGTTTTTCAAGACAAGCTATCTCTGTGTAGCTCTGACTGTCCTAGAACTTGCTCTCAGAGAATCTACCTTGCTGGTATTAAAGGTGTGTGCCACCACCTCCCAGTTTTTATTGCGTTGTTTTGTTTTGTTTTCAGGAGAGGGTTTCTCTGTGTCACCTTGGCTGTCCTGGAACTTGCTCTGTAGACCATGCTGACCTCAAACTCTGAGATCTGTCTGCCTCTCAAGTACTGGGATTCAAGGTGTGTGCCACCACCATCCAGCACAATGTAAACTTTAAGACAATGAAAAAGAGAAATTGAGGAGTATAATAAATTTGGGGAAGACTTCCAGTTCTCCTGAATTGACAGAGTTAATACTGTGAAAATGACTAACCTACAAATTCTGTGAAAGCCCATCAAAATTCCAATACGATTCTTCCTAGAACTAGAAAAAAAATCCTAAAAGTCTTATGGAGACACAAATATTCCCCAGATGCCACAGCAATCCTGAGCAGAAAGAAATGGCCAGCAATGTCACGGTACCTAACCTCATACTATGGTCATTCACGGTGACAGAGACAGTGTACCAAGGGCACAAAAGCAGACATGTAGGCCACTGGAACAAAATGATAAACCCAGAAATAAACACATATAGTCACAGTCTTCTCATTTTTGATGAAAGGGGTCAAAATTATACACTGGAGTAGAAAAGCC